GTGTGGGTGTGGGTGTGGGTGTGGGTGTGGGTGTGGGTGTGGGTGTGGGTGTGGGTGTGGATATCCCTCTGCTCGTAACTCAGTCCCACACATACACCCACACCCACACTCGAATTGTCAATGATCCTGAATGGCATACATTTTTTTTGAATATGACATCGTAAAAAGCATAGATGACTAATACACACAATTTAATTGAAAACAATTGAAACAATATTATTTGTCTCTTTTTCTTTTTATTAGTCAAGCTTTTATTATTATCTCATGATAATTTTCTTGATTTAACAATAAATATTCCAATCATTCATCTTGATTCTCATTAAATAAATAAGGGAATATATTAAACGGTCAGTAAAATAACTGAAGTGGTCAGTAAAAAATATGGAAATGGTTAGTTTATTTGCTGTAAGTAACAGTAAAAATATATGATTTATATCAGTAGAAAAAAGAAATCTGGTCAGTAGAAAATAGATTTTTGGTCAGTAGAAAAATTATTGGTCTTGTCGTTGATAAGTAGGAGAAAATGATAGTTTGAAAGCTTAATAATATTTTGTTCTTTTAAGAAGAAAACGCAAGTATTTATAGGACAAGAAATGGTTATTTGGATTATTCCCATCTCTTATAGTATAACATATTCTAGGAAAAATACTTGAGTAATATTCTTTAATTCATCACTTGGAAATAACTCACTTTAATATATGTCAAAAGATCAGAAGAAAAACGTATTAATAAAACGAAAGGAAAAATCCCCTATGATCATATATATGAAGGAAAATACCATATAAATATACATGTGAAGGAAAGAAAAAAAATGAAGTGGATAACACTACGAAAAATGTTAATTTTTATACTGATCACTCCGTATATTTACTGACCATGTCAGGTATTTTACTGACCATTCATTTTTCTACTGACCATTCAGTATATTTACTGACCATGTCAGTTATTTTACTGACCACTAAAATGACACCCATAATTTAAGAATAATAAAAGCAACAATCCATTGAAGAAAAACCAAACTTAAATTACAAATTAAAGAACAAGTGAATAATGATAACAAAGATAAAAAGAAAAATTAGAGTAAAACATATTTTGTCGAAATATAGAAATGAATACGACAGATTATTTAAAACTTGTCGCTTTGTCTTAGAAAATAAATATTATCATTCAGAGAGTATTCATTTCACGTGTATAAAATACATAAAAATATAATTTTCTTTTCAAAGAAATTGTACTAACAGTTCTTTGAAGATGGTAGCTAAGTTCTATTAATCATAGAATTCGCCTATTTTAGTCTCTTTTACATCTATTCGCCAAGTAAGTGCAGGATTTTTTTCAAAATCACTTTCAATTGAATACATTCAACATATTTCATTTCGAAACAAACATTTTAACTAAGGTAAATTTGAAAGTACAAAGTCGTCAATATAAATAGCATTCGGATGTAAAGTAGGTTTATATCCAAATAACTTAGCGTATTCATGCAATAAATTTCGCCAATAACAACTTACGGCATGTTCATTCAAGTAATTTTGAACTAACTGTTGTCCTTGTTTACCTATTTCTTTAGTTACATTCTCATGATTCTGTAAGAATTGAAGTGTTTTATTAAACGCTATTTCATTATTTATTCGTTCCATAAATATTACATTTTTACCATTTTCCAAAAGATGATACCAATATTCCTCATAATGTTCAATAGGATCATACACGACGGAAGAACCACAAAGTAAAAGATATTTCAGTCTAGATGAATATGTATTACCTTCTAGGTGTAATAAATGTTTATAATTACAATGTTGTTCCAGTGTAGTATAGGTATTCGAAACTGATAAAGATATACCAACGATAATTCTAACCCAGTTCATCGTTTCTATATCTGTAGTATTTGGATACTGCTTTGCCGTATTAATATACCAAGTTCTTTTCCATGTGTCGGCTCCACGCCAGAATAGTTTTGGTACTCTCTTTTCATATTCTATTTGACGCGATGCATTCAATATAGACTGAAAAATTTTCGACCATCGACCAGCACGTACTTCTGGCCAGCCCCATAATGTAAAACATGGCATTAAAACTAATGCATCTGGTCGTAAGCCTCTTCTCGTTGTATTACTTTTTGTAAAGGCAAAAATTGGTACATTAAAAAGTACATCATTAAGCTCTTTAGGTAACTCAACTGCATCTCCAACATGGAAGAAAAGATCAAGATCAGGAATATCAGAAAAAGTATCCATCATATGTTTGATTAATAACTTTACACTGCGACTACGTGTTTCATAGTTGGATACTGTAGGTCTTGGAACAATATAAAGTTTGTTTTGAATAATTTGAATATGATGACAACCAAGACAAGAATTTGATATATTTTCAATATCTTTTAATAGAATTGTCCGATTTTTGAATGGTTGTAAGTCTTTATGTATACGAGAAAATAAATCAAGTTTTTTATTTTTTGAATATAACTGATAACAAATATGTTGATCTGATTGAATTGATAATTGCCAATAGTTGGATGATTTATTATTACAAATAAAATTGAAAAATGGTTTCACAATATCATAACAATAGTTAAGATTGCTAATATTAAACGAACCTAGATCATTTCGAATATGTAGTAATCGATTTGGTGACAGTTGAATTCTTGTCATGATGAGCAAGGCTAACAAGAAGAATACAAGAAACAATAAAATACGACCATGCTTCTCACTATACGTGAAATGTTCCATCGTTTAATATATCTTAATTTACCACTTTTATTCTAGAAAATAATGTATATATAGATAATATTATACAGAAAAATATTATTTCAAGATATATATTTGTGACTTGAAATGGAAGAACTTACCAGTGTAGTTTCTTAAGAGCTAAAACAGAGAATTCATGTAAAATAGTTGTTAACGTTTTATCATGATTTCTACTGTAAAGCATATGTTATTAATCACCTTTCTCTTATTCTCATACAAATCCACATTTATTATTTATTTCTTGCCTTTCTCGTAATCATAAAAATGTGCACATAAAAGGTATGGATAAGTTTATAGCTGAATATCTAGAGACGGTTCTACCTAGTAACAGAGTATAAACTTAAAGCATAGAACTACATTCGTCCTGATACCTTTAAAATGAATAAGTGAAATTAGGAAGCCTATAGAGTTGTTAATTTTGATGTAAATATCAATTAAAAATAAATCTGTGGCAAAATATATAAGTAATTAATGAAGAGATAAATTGAATAGTAACAATTTTGTAAAGAAAAAAAATTTCTTTGTTTCATTATTATTAAGTTTTGTTTTGTTTTGTAGATAATGGACCGTTTTAAACTATAATTTCTCTTCTATTTAATTCTTTTTAAACATGTTAGGTAGTAAGAAAACGATGGAATGAAAAAAGAAAAATTTCTTTCTATAAACTAAATCAATTTTTTACAACGATAAAAACTAGTCGTATTAAATTTTAATACTTTTAAAGACAAGAAATATACTATTAAAATAAATCTTACTTTCTAAACTTTCAAACTGTATCCTGTTTTGTACTATAATGTCTTTCTCCTGCCGATGTATATTCTTTTTCTAATCAAAACAGTTGTTCTTTCAAACATGACAATTTAGATGACCTTCATTTGAGTAATATTAGCGATACAATTGTAAAGTACATCAAAGAAGTAGAAAAACAAACATCGTTGCATTACACGCCTTTTTGTTTATAATAAGTTAAAGAAACGAAAGAAAAAGTAAAATGTAAATACGTTGATTGATAAAACACTTTCTCTCATTTTTCTTCACCAATGAAGAATAGAAATCTATTAATATACCAATTCAATTAATCTACAAGATATTTTTAAACTATTGTGAGTATTTAACAACAACAAAAATTCTTCATTCGTATTGATTCTAACTTTCAAAAGAAGAAGAAAAAAAAATAATGTATTTATCTATATGTTAAAGTTTCTTTAATAAATATACCTTCATATAAAGATTACAATAATTATAAATTTTTAAAAAACAAAATCTTAAACACAACTTTATTGATGTACATAATCTTAGGAATGTGAATATTATTATTTAGTAAAATATCTATCGAATTTTGAGTATATTTGATAGTCTTCATTTTCTAGTTAAAATGAAAATTAATGTTTATATTGTTTCTTTTTAAAATTAACAATTTCACATTCTATTTATATTCTATGATACACTTTATTAATTATTGCTCGAAGAAGAGAAATATTTCAGATGTAATTTCATCAGTTTATTGTTTAAAAAAATCGATATACATGTATATATTTGACTCATTGAAATGAAAATCTTAGTTTATTGTAATTCCTGGAACAATAACTCGCTGATTACGTTTCCAAATACACAAAGCTAAAAGTTTGCGCTTTAGTTCAGGCAATGCAAGTAAAACAGCAAATGGGACAATAATAGAAGGAATCAATGTTAAACGTGTTAAAAATGGTGACCAAATATTACTCGCAAAAGTTGGATAACCAGATGATTGAATAATAAAAACAATTATAGCAGGAAGATCACATATGTTGTAGATACCAATACAAGTTGAAGAGTCATTTTTCGACAACGACGCCATGTCACGGCTTGTTGCATTCGTTGTTTTTGTCTGATATATCGAAATAAAAGTGTAATACTACAAATACTGATTAACAATACCGGCAAGACATAATCGATGTATGAATCATATTGTTGAAGCCAATTGGGAGCGTCAATATAGAGACATATTGAACCACAACGAATTTTTGTACTAACATAAGTCTGACCACATGAATGTAGAAAAATCAGATAAAAGAATAATATTGGTGTGTAAAGTGAGAAAAATGCTAATGGTATATAATGAACAAATAAACGTTTACGTGTAGTTGCAACTAAATTTGGATGAAATATAAGAATATGTCGTTCAAATGATGTCCAAAACATTACTGAAACAGCTCCATACCATATTCCATGATCAATAAACTGCCAAATATTACAAATAGCAGGAGTGAAAAGTTGTACATATCCAAGACGATTAAAATCCAATGTCATCGTTAAATCAACTGTAACAATGAGAAAATTGTAGAACAACAATATTATCATGGCATGATTGTGAACACTTTTTCGTCTATTTCTTTCAGTTAGAAGATGATAAAACACGAATAGATAACAAGGAATCGAAATAATAACACCAAATAAGATTAATGAAAATTCAAATTTTGGCCAAAAAAATGGAACATTTGATGATGTTGAAGAAAAGTTTCCCATTATTTTTTTAAAAATCTATTTAAATATCTGAACAGAATTTATGATTATTTTATTATACGTATATATTGAAATCAAAATTCTCGAATACAAAAACAAGAGTACAAATAAAAACTGAAGACATTAAAATAATAATTAATAGTTTCCTATATAAATAATATAGAGAATTATTATTTCATTAGTAGAAAAAGTACCCAGAAAAAAAATATTATTAGTATGCAGGTTAATACGTGCATAGTTACGAACTTTTCTTAACATAAGCGCTCGTCATTAATGTTAGCATGATATAGAAGAAAGGGAGTTTAATCGACAAGAAAATGAAATAATATTAATTAAGAGATTAAAGAATATATATATTTCCAGAAATAAGTTCAAAGATAAAATCTGCATCTTTTCTATAAAGCTATATATTAATAAAGAATGAAGAAAATAAAAAATATTGCAAATGACAACATAAATATTTCTATGTAAATAATGTAAAATTATTCATTTTTGTCATGTGTTATCCAAAAAATCTTACTTCAATATTTAAATTAATCTTTTATAGAGGAATATTCTAAATCAAATTTTTAAAATAAACAATCGTTAGATTCAATAGTCTGAAATAGCTATCATCGAATGAGAGCGATTAGCACTAGCCCAAATTAGACTACTGTGTTACTAATATTTTTAGTTTATTAAAAGACATTATGATCATACAATATTTTTAGTGTTTTTATTTGCTTTTCACTTACTTTGATTCTTTTCTTTTATTCACATTATTTAAAATGCGTTGCGATTAGATATATATTTGATACTAACTGAAATTTTTGTTGTTACATGCTTAGTTTGTCTCAGATCAATTACCATCCTACACAAAAGGATATTTTCGTATGTGTCATGCCAGTTATGCTCCACTAAAGTAAATTTGATGCTACATTATATTCTGCTTGACTATATCATAATAACTAATCGCTTTGATGAATATCTATTTGAGAAGATAGAGATATACATATTTCTTCTTCATAAAGTCATTAATAAACTGGATGGCATTCGAGTTTTACTCGACTACGAAATGATGATTTCATACTTTTCAGACATTTCTGAACATTCGCGATTGTCGTAGAATCCTGTGAAATCTATATGTTGAGGGTGAATGAGTAGGAACGGACCCAGGGAGAGTGCGGAGGATGCAGCCACATCTCCCTTCGAAATTTATTAATGTTGAACTTCAGTCATGTTCTTCTTATTTCTACGAACTTTCCAAAGAGAAGGAGAATATAGTTCATAATTTTGACATTTGTAGTATTTATAGTCCAACATCAACAAGATAAACGAAGAAAAATAGCTTAAATATACATGCTGATAGTATCAGTGCCGGACTAGTAGCGTAAACATAGGTATAGCAATTATCTCTAATATCTTACTATGATAAAAAGTAAGTGTTTTAAACATTATGAAAATACTACGTACTACTATGTATACTCATGCTACAAACGAAGGCTTTTTTTTAATATAATCTATTCGTTTGGTGTTTTCTTTTGGAATAAAGTAAATAAAAAAACACATATCAGTTAAAAAAGATTTATTTCAGTAAATTGACTTCCTTCCATCTTTCTGTACAATAAAATCTATCATTGTTTGATCTGAATTAATTTCGAAATCTTTTGCAATATTCAAAAGACGAAATACTAACAATCGTTTTGTTTCACACTATTTCTTAAGTAAGTTTCCAATCGTTTTGACCACGAGAAACTTCGCTCACATTCGTTCGAATTTATTGATATAGTCTAAATGTTTAAAAAAAACTTTAATATTTCCTTTCTAGATCTTCCACATATTGGCAAAGAATCTTGCAGAAAATTAAGATTTTCTCCGTAAAAAATGATGTGAAACTAATGTAATTAGTTTCATTTTTCTGAAATAATCGATGCCATGGAATGAGAATGACGTGAAAATAACAGAAACAATATGATAGTTTTAACTTTTTTGAAATACCTAAAAACATGCAGCTTTTTCATGAAAAATTTTTAAAATAAACATTTAAATGAATTTTTTTTTATTTTTAAGTTCCCTGAGTCTTATCCATAACAAGATATATAAACATGAAATATAACATCAACATTTACAAAAACTTTTACATTTAGTTGATATTCATCAAGATGATGGAAAAAAAAATTAGCCGAACACAAAAGAAAACTCCATTTAGTTAAACAATTTATTTCTATGACATTATTTTCTTTTTAGAAATATTAAACATTTTTATTTTAACAGAAATTTCTTTTTGAATATATTTTCTTTAAATATATCATTATTGATTAGAATATACTCAGCTATCAATTCTTTAACTTTAATTCATAATACATTATCTTGTTTTTTACTTTTACTTATTCAAAACAAAAACAACTATAAAATTTTTTCAAATTTTGAATACTTGAAGCATGTAAAGAATGTATTTTAATCTAACGTTCTTTCGTAATTCGTTAGCAGTAATATCAGAAATTTCTATGAATAAGTTCTTTCAATTTTATTTTCATTATCATATAATAACGAAAATAAATACTACAACAATCGATGAATATATATCTTTCAAGATTGTATCTAATTGAAATCAAACACATAATCAAAATAATCTTCTTGTTAAAATAGTTTAATAAGCTTTATCTATACGATTTTTATTCAATCTAATAGTTGATCATTTTAATTAATTCTAATATTTAAATTATCAAAGAAGAATTTCTTTTATCTTATCATATCTCAACGATATATCATCGTATTTCATGATTAATATCTGAATTGAATTTTCCATTTTTTTTCTTTTGATAAAATTGAAATAGAAAGACTATTTACTTCAACACCATAACCTTAGTAAATAAAAGTACTTTATTTTTCTTTATGTATATACTTGGCCAGAAGCTATGAATAAAAAATTTTTCTTCAGTAAAATCTATATTTGATAATTTGTCTCGAGAATGAGAAGATGAAATAAAACATACTTTACAAAATAGCTTTTGTTTCATTCTGTTATTTGTTTTAGTAAGAAGGTTCTAGCAGCTAAGAAATATTTCTGAGAGAAAAATAATTAACTGAGAATGACGTCGACAGTTAGTTCATTTATAAAAATGAAATGTGTTTGACGTCTAAAAGTAATATTATAATGACTTTAAAATCATTTTAGAAATGAACCAACTGCTCAAGTCGTTCTCAATTTATTAATTTCTTTTTGTACAGTTCTGAAAATTTTATATTTAACTTTCTTTGTCCTTAAATCATATTTGTAAGCCTATAGAATAGAACTTTATCAATGAAAGAGATAATCGAGTCAAATAAAATCTATTCTTTTGAATATGTTCTATTCAATATTCTTATTTTGAAAACAAATTATCAAATTTGATTTTTACTGAAAAAAATTTTGTTATTAGAAACGAGTGAGAACTGCCACCTCGTTTTGCATATAATAAATGATTACTAATCTTTTTTGTTTTTACTTTAGAAATTAAAAAAAAATACTTTTTAGGAGAAAAATTTTATTTTTATTTTAGTTGAAGTCTTCGTTGATAATGAATAAGGCAATATTATTATTTTTATTATTTCTATTGATAATCAAATGTGGATGTGAAAATAGTCGATCAGTATTCTTAAAAACATTTCTTGGTATAAAATATATATGTAATGAGTCAAGTTATTCTCCATCTATTATTATATTTGGAAAAAATCAAAGACAATGTGAAATATCTTGTTTGAATTATTTACAATGTTATCTTTTAACTTTTGATTTATCTAATAGTCAATGTGAAATATTTGCAAATATTTCAATAGACTATGGAAATTTAATTCAACAACAAAATGTTATAACAATGATTACTCTTGATAATGAACAATTATTTTATTGTAAGTTATCAATTTTAGTTTTTTTATATTAGAAATATTACAATATAATAAACACATAGATTGGAGAAATCATTGATGAAAAATCTTTTCTTAGGTTATGTCTTATTCTATATTCAAAAGTAAGCTAACTATCAAATGAATAAATTTAATAATAAAATTGAAATTTATCTATTGTTTATTTTAACTTATATTTATTGTTTTATAAATATTTTTACAATAATTATAGATCAGAAAATCTAATGAAATATTCTATGATCATTTTTGATTGTAAACCAATACAAATTAATCATAATCAATATTTTATTAGGTTGGGCAAATATTTCTGCAACACTTTCGGAAAGGTTGAAGGTCAAAAGTGTTGCAGAACTTTTCGGTCAATCCAGCATTAATTACATATTTTATTTTTATAAATTTACTAATGCATCAAAATTTTCAGTTTTTAATAACTTATAACTGTAGAAAAGAGAAAATTCTAATAACATCTATGTAAACGTATTTTATCACTTCCCATTAGATCTGATTTTTATTATTTTCTTTATTATGTTTTTTAATATTTTTCTTTTTTTTAGCTATGTTAAGTAATACAACAAAAGCATCAACGTAAGTTACAAATTATTTTATTAAAAAATTTTCGAATTAATATTGTTTTTATTTCGTATAAGAATCCAAATTTAATTTTATATACACATTCATTTTAAGTATTTATTTGAAGATAACTAGAATATTATTTCGAATATACTAAAACATAGTATATCATCAAAAAAATATCTATAATATATTTATATATAAATTTATAAAAGCTACAGTTGCTAAACTCTAATTTAAAAATACTATCTTTCTTGATAAGTTTCTTCGATAATTCTATTATGATTAAGAAAACCTTCTTTAAATACATCGATCTAATTAGTTCCGTCCATTTTCAATTCATACACTATTTCTAGCATATAGTATGACTATAGTTTGAATGTTTACAAGTAAAGTTACAATTAGAGAATATAAAAGTTATAATAAACAGTCAGAAAATAAGTTATGAACAATGTTATTTCTTGTTTCGTTTAATGGCATATATCTTCATTAGAAAATTATAGAAGTTTATCGAAGTAAGTATAAAGATTTTATTAGACATGTAATAG